CATGCCCGGCGCATCGGTCACTTATAAGGTAAGTTCTGACTTACATATGTCACTATTAAACTAGTTTGTCAATATTTAAGGATAATTACCGAGATCCAGAGCGCATGCCAATGCAATGGGACACATCGGAGAATGCCGGCTTCAGCACAGGCAACTCCACTTGGCTGCCAATCAATCCGAACTACAAATACCTCAACGTACAAACACAACGGGGCGTGGCACGCAGTACTTTGAATATTTACTAAGGAATGACCAAGCTGAAAAAAACTGCCGCATTCAAGGCGTTCAAGGAGGATGGTGGTTTCTCGTATGGAGCTTTGTCGAAGCAAATCTTTCACATAGTGAGGTTTGTGACAAACAAAGATGCAACTAGCCGAAATAAGGTTATATTAATTTAATTAAGCTTGCCTTTCTAGAACTGCTGCTGGTAGAGAGGAGTATCGTTTGCTAGCGAATTTTGGGAACCAAATAGAATACTTGGATGGTTTGACCAACAAGACAATGGAGTATGTGCTGCTCACTTCATATTCGCCCCATAAGTATGGGTAAGTTTAGTCGATTGTGAGATTACATACAATTTTTTCTAATTATTATATTTTCTTGTTCGCATTTAAGTAAACGTATCTATTTGATGCCCTATGAAGCGGTTATTCTTCGGTGGACTGCGTAGATGCCTATGAATTTTTGGTTCTTGTAGCCGGATAATACTTATATGATAATAGTATTTAGTATGTATGGTATTAATAAAGTATGGATTTTTTAAAACTCATTAGAAATGTGGTATCATTAGTTTTAGTGTTTTTTTTTATAGATATTTTAGACTGCGACCCAGGATCTTACCTCTAGCCACTCGGCTATCGCAGCAAGAGTTTATAGGATACGTTTAGCTCAGTGGTAGCGTGCTAACTAGCTCATGATATCGCGTACGTTTATTTCACTCTGAAGTCCAGTCAGAAGTTTGATGAGGAATGCGGAAATACATTACACCCGTGACTTCTACCGCTAGACCTTCTTGACTTTTCAAATTTTCTAAATAAAACTGTCATGAAGCTCCATTAGATATTACAGTTATAAATCCACTCTAAAATCAGAATCAGACGATTGGGCAGTTGGTGTGAATTGGTAGCCCTCTCATGTGAAGGTAAAATATTGGGCTTTTCCCAATCTGGCAAACAATTTCATACACTTATCAATTAGATTTCTGATTGAGTTTGTATGTTTTGTACTAATGCTGCGACTTCTAAAAATGTTTACAAATTTACCAGTCGCACAGTGATATTTGGTCCCCAATTCGTGCCCATAAATCCAAAAATAAAGCATCGATTTTGGGGGTTTTGTTTTCTTTGGTTGGCTAAAATGATGTTTCAGCTATCGAAATATGTTCAATACAGGTTCGAACCTTTTGCACCGTTGGTAAGATCAGTGGTAAAGTGTTAGTTGACGCAGTGCTCTGGAAAGTTAAAATGTAATGCTGAAGTTTAAAAGAACGCCAAAAGCCTATTGGTGCGATCGATTTTAGTTTTGTAAAATTAGTTCTTGTTCTGCAGGTGAGTTCTATGTATAATATATAATTTCAATAATAACATATAATTTAAAAATTGTTTAATATGTTTAACTGATTAGTATTTAATGAAAAATTCAAGAAAATTTTTTAATAAAAACAGTTTAAAGAAAAAGTCACAAGTAATTTTTCACCATATTTCACCAACAAAAAATTTATGTTTAATTAAACAATAAGACTAAATATTGAATCCGATCATGTCCGACCTTTTGTTTACGACGCGATTTTGTACCATATAATATTGAAAGTTTTTCTGAAGATGATTTTTTCAAATTACTCTTTTTTTAAACCAATTTCATGTAAGATGCACGTAAACATGATTAGATTATAATTATATAGCATTTTTATTTAAGAATTTTAAATACAAACTTAAAAAACCCAAACAGAACTCAATATTACGTAACTTTAATAAATATTTTTCAAATTAAGCACATTTCTTTTAATTTAAGGCGCCATATTGGATCGACTATTATGCACTTAGTTATTTTTCTTTCAGGTTGAAATTTAGCGACCCCAAGAACTCTTAAATAATATAATAATAAGCTATTCTTATTAATATTATTAACAAAATTATTATGTTTAAGATTTGAGGCGCGCTATATTGGATCGCGCTATATTGGATTGGATTTTTATATTAGAATCGAAGTCGGTTTTGTTTTTTTGCTAAAAAATTACTTTTTTATATAGTGGAACCAAAATGAGGAGTGCAAATCACACCAGTACACGCGAACAGATATGACTAGATGTAACATATAACGACATATAACGACGCGATTGGGGACTTCTCACATGAATCAACATTATATGCTGAACAACAAAAAACTGATTAAAACAATTTTAGCGGTTAAACTGTTCCCGGCAGAAAATGAAACTCCCGCCGACTAGCTTGAAAAGGGACCGTCGTGATTCTTCACAAATCCCAAACCATTGCTTTCAACAGAGGAGCACTTGTCTCCCTCTGCCGAACTTTTAAGCTCGTTCTGAACTGGCTCCATTTTGGACTGGTCTGGGACAATAAGTTTTATTATGAGAAAAAAAAATTTTGGATTCCATTTATGGATATTTTTTGGTTTTTTCTTTTCTTTTACAGATTTAATTTTATTTTATATAATATATTTTCTTATAAACCGACTTCACAAAAAAAGGAGAAATATTTTTTTATGTATGTTACCGCATAACTTTGGACCACGTGAACAGATCTCGTTAATTCTTTTTATCGGAAAGGTGGTACTTCAAGGGTGGTCCCATAGTAAATTACTTAAAATACGATCATTGGGTCATGAAAAGATTGACGGTACTCGTAAATTTGTATATGAAAATTGAAGTCGGTTGCGCTGTCTGTTTGCTTAAAAATTACTTGTTTTATTCTTATTTTAGTTTTATAAATTTTATATTTATGTCTTCTTTGAACTCACGACCAACGATGTTAAGAGGCGGAGATCTTCTCGTGGCGCTACTTTCGTATTGTATGAGAATTGAAAATCTGTCCATTTACTTCTCAGCTTTCACATGCTTACTGTGAGAAACATTGACGACGGCGCAACTACCACACCAAAAATTTCAACTGTACCGCTCTGCAGCCGTTTTTGAGCTAGCGCTTTGCCCAACTGCAACTAAATTTTGCTGCACGGGCTGCTAAGTGTTTGACCGAACTTCTGCTCTTATTTGTGGTGTGCAACTAGATGTTGTAGCACGAATGGTGTGACCTACAGTTCTGCGCCACCTTCGAACGGTAAACGGATTTTATGAGTAGCTTTTTCATGGCAGAAATACACCCGAAGGTTTTCCATTGCCTGTTGAATTGCGACCACTGTTGGAAAGAAATATATCAAGTTCTATAAAGTCAATTGATTTCAGGTGGCCTGTGGGTCATACAAATTGCCAAAACTACTCTTATATGCAATCAGTTCACGCGCCTAGGGTTAATTGAGTGCCTGGATTGTTAAGTAATTTTTATTTGTACGAAAAATCGCTCGGTTTTAAAATTGTCTACTCTGACTCTAAAGAGCGTGTCAGACGTGAAAAGGCAATATATTTCGAAAAGGAAGGAAAGTGTCTTTCGAAACAGGTTTTTTTATTTCCGAAGGGCGAATTGCAGCGTAAAATTTCAAAAATCGCTTTTTGGTTGTGTGCAAATGAATTTCTGGCAATATTTCTCTTAATTATAATTAACTTTATTTTTAATTTGAAGATTAATTGATTATTTATAACTGAACAATTCAATTCCGCAAATTAATTAACTAAAAGCAAGTCAGATATTTTCTTTAAATTGTTTGTTATTATTTCTCACAAAATCGTGATCACCTTCACACGGCAACACTCGAATAGTTTGACAGCACTTGCAGCAGAAAATAAAAATTGCTAGAGCCGCACGAGCAACATGNAACTACCACACCAAAAATTTCAACTGTACCGCTCTGCAGCCGTTTTTGAGCTAGCGCTTTGCCCAACTGCAACTAAATTTTGCTGCACGGGCTGCTAAGTGTTTGGCCGAACTTCTCCTCTTATTTGTGGTGTGCAACTAGATGTTGTAGCACGAATGGTGTGACCTACGGTTCTGCGCCACCTTCGAACGGTAAGAGGATTTTATGAGTAGCTTTTGCATGGCAGAAATACACCCGAAGGTTTTCCATTGCCTGTTGAACTGCGACCACTGTTGGAAAGAAATATATCAAGTTCTATAAAATCAACNATGGAAATACAATTTTTTCTTTCTCAATTTGACAGCGAATTGCATGGAAAAGTAGGAAATATTGCAACGTCTGACACGCTCTTAAGAGCGCAAGCAACAAATATATTGCTTTGATAAGATGTAACAGCCGATTTGAAGGCACACTTAAGTATGCGAAAATTTGGCAATAAATGCTTCTTTTCAGAGACGATTCTAATCGCTACATCCACTTAGCCAAGCAATGACTACGAAACATTATCAGCACACTTTCGTTTCATTCATTCCATACATGAAATAACGGCAAACGATAAATACCTTTATCGCGAAGTGTGTTGAAGTATAAAAAACAAGTCCGGACATAGCCTATTCGATCAGTACTCATCGAGATNTGTTCACACATGGAAATACAATTTTTTCTTTCTCAATTTGACAGCGAATTGCATGGAAAATTAGGAAATATTGCAACGTCTGACACGCTCTTAAGAGCGCAAGCAACAAATATATTGCTTTGATAAGATGTAACAGCCGATTTGAAGGCACACTTAAGTATGCACCTCGAAAATTTGGCAATAAATGCTTCTTTTCAGAGACGATTCTAATCGCTACATCGACTTAGCCAAGCAATGACTACGAAACATTATCAGCACACTTTCGTTTCATTCATTCCATACATGAAATAACGGCAATCGATAAATACCTTTATCGCGAAGTGTATTGAAGTATAAAAAACAAGTCCGGACATAGCCTATTCGATCAGTACTCATCGAGATGTCGTGCTTACTAGTAGCGGTAGTCCTCTGCGTCTGCAGTGTTACGGCGGCAACCGAAGTTGGCTGGTGGGAATCCGCAGCGCTCTACCAGATCTACCCTCGCTCCTTTATGGATAGTGACGGCGACGGTATAGGTGATCTGAATGGCATCACGTCTCGTCTTGAATTGCTGAAGGAACTTGGCATCACCGCTACGTGGCTTTCGCCTATCTACGAGTCACCGATGGCGGATATGGGCTACGATGTATCCAATTTCACCAAGGTGGACCCGATATTTGGCACATTGGACGATTTTGATGCAATGATTGCAAAGGCGCATCAATTGGGAATAAAAATTATTATGGATTTTGTACCGAATCATTCCAGCGATGAGTGCGAGTGGTTCGAAAAGTCGGTACGGCGTGAAGATGGCTACGATGATTTTTATGTTTGGGCTGATCCTAAAATCGATCCAGAAACGGGTGAGCGTCAGAAGCCAAGCAATTGGGTAAGTTAATATGCGAGTATATACTTTTTGGCGAGCGATCTTTCATGTCCTCTATTGTCTTTTGTAGGAGGGCTTTGGAGGTTCCGTATGGGAATGGAATGAAGTACGCCAGCAATATTATTTGCACCGTTTTCTAACCAAGCAACCCGACTTAAACCTCACCAATCCAATGGTGCATCAATATTTGGCCGAGGCCTTAGAAATTGGCTAGATCGTGGTGTGGACTCATTTCGCGTTGATGCCGTGCATTGCTTTTTTGAGACGCGTTACGAAAACGGCACTTTTCCAGACGAGACCAGGAGAGAAGAGTATACAGATTATTTACCACAAAATCGCGAAATGTTATACGAATGGCGTGCGTTGTTAGACGAATACACAGAAAAACATGGCGGTGATACTAGGTATTTATTTAACCCACGTGAAATGGCGTGAAATGGTTTACATATAAGTCCAATACTTTACTCCTTAGAATCCAATTAGCAGAGTCATTTGGGAGCATGAATAGTTTGAGCGAGTATATTTCGAATGGAACCCACGTTGGTAGCCAGATGCCAATGAATTTCAATTTAATTCAGGTTCGTGCCTCAACCACTGCAACTCAACTGGAAACGTCCATCAAATCGTGGATGGATGTTATGTGGACTCAGCACAAAGAGGCCAATTGGCACGTAGGAAACCATGATCAAAGCCGCCCAGCTACACACATAGGTGTGGAAAAGAAGGATGCGATGACGATGTTGGTGCAGGCATTGCCCGGCGCATCTGTTGTTTATAACGTAAGAGATACTCTCTGAGGAAGAAAGCAAATTACATAAATTTTTTCCAAATCACTTTAGGGCGATGAAATTGGCATGACTGATTTGGACACAGGCGCTGGTAATTCCCGAGATGCACAGCGTTCGCCAATGCAATGGGACACATCAAAGAATGCCGGATTCAGTACAGGCAACTCAACTTGGCTGGCTGTAAATTCTAACTCCAACTATCTCAACGAACAAACTCAACGGGGTGTGGCACGCAGCACTTTGAATATACTAAAGGCAATGATCAAACTGAGGCAAACTGCTGCCTTTAAGGCAGTCAAGGAGGATGGTGGCTTTTCACATGGCGCTCTGAAAACACAAGTCTTTCAGGTTGTAAGGTTTGTGACAATTAAAGGGGTAGCCAAAAACAGGGTTCATTAAATTAATCGAGCTTATCTTTTAGAACCGCTGCTGGCGTCGAAGAGTACCGTTTTTTGGCCAATTTGGGTAACCAAATAGAATACTTAGACGGATTGGCCAACAAGACTGTGGACTATGTGGTGCTCAATTCATATTCACCACACAATTACGGGTAGGTGTTATCGAAAGTGGTTTAATTCTCGATAAATATTTGATTTCATATTTCTTTTCTGCATTTAAGTGACAAAGTTGACCTAAGCAAACGAATTTATTTGATGCCCTATGAAGCAGTTGTTCTGCGGTGGATTGCTTAGAGTGCTCGCATGCTAATAAAGCCGGTGATCTGATTAATATTTTTGATTATAGCTAATGCTTATGTATGTGTATGTATGTTGTGACAGATTAAACAAAAAAATTCAAGATAACAGAAATTCACGTATTTAAATATTGAATATTTTATTCTCGAAGATGTTACGGTTTCCCTCCATATAAAAATAGTGTTTATGGTTTATATGAAAGGAAAGTTTTTTGTTTTTTTTTAATATTGCAGCAAGTTTGAAACCTGGATTTACCAAAATTAAATTACAAAAAAATATGTTTTAAAACTTGTCAAAATGTGGTGCAGCATCTAAATAAGAAAAGGTTTTTTTAACAGCCATTTAAATAATTTTTTAAATTATATTCAACAAAAGTTGAAAAGGCATAATCAGTTTACGTGGCGAACTTAGCTCAGTGGGTTGACTACTGGTTTAGGTGGCTGGAGTCGTTGGATCGAATCCCAGTTGAAGGAGTCTGATGAGGAGATATGGTGATCTCAGAAATAATGCCATAACTTCTACCAAAATGTAAATTGCTGTTTTTTCCGCAAAATTTTTATTAAAAAACGGCCCCAACCGCCAATACGTCAGACTGCTCTAACAGAGTAGGACAAACGCCCACCCCTCTCGAATACTCTAAGGATCGCGAAATGAACACACAAATTCGTAGAAAGTGAAATCGATATTTCCGATTAGTTTAATTCACAAACAACTCCATCCCAATTTAAAGTCTGGTCCACTTTTTTCAGCTTTACACAAATAATATTTAAAAATGCAAAACCTCGACATTTCATAATCCCCATTCCCATACTTTAAGCAAAAACTGCACACATGGACATACTTATTTTTAATGTTTTGTCAACAACTCCTCAAAAAATTTGAAATCATTCCAGAAAATTGGACAGACATTTTTTCCAAAAATGTTTAGGAAGTTACTCATGTCCAACCATTCAACCAGGACGAGGTGAGAACGCCAATAAGGTGTCTCTAAAACAACGAAGTCCACATAGCCGATGGAATATCGGTTCAGCTATTGAAATCCGTTGGCGAAGAACTGACGAAATGCGTTTTTATCATTACCATATGCGAGCACCAACAATGTTTTAAATTTTGATTAAAAAAAAACTGATTAAACAGTATATAGCGGAAGAATGAAATCTATTGAATGCAAAAAAGCTATTGATTTTCGAGTGGTCTGCTAATCATAAAACCGGCGGGAATACCGCTTTACATACATAGGTACATATATACATACTTAGTCAAGCGCCAAATATTTCATAAGTGCCTGAATAATAAAAGCACATAACATTCACTTACATAGGAAAACGATTGGTTTGCTCCATAGTGAATATGTATGAACCTACTATTTTTATGTATTTGTATGTATATGAACAATTTTTAGTTTGCAAAATGGCCTAATCTAAAAGATTGATGATTTAGATTAAATAACCACCTTCCTTCAGAACTTTAGGTTAACGAAATCCTACTTTGATAAGTAGTACTGCGTTATTAAAAACAGACGCAACCCTCTCGATTACAATGTTGCTTGAGAGCAACTTTGCGTATCTATGGGCTTTCCGTAAGTAAGTATTCAAGGAAACTAGTAGCTTTTCAATTGAAAAAGCTTTAGTAGGTTTTAATGTTTGCAGCTAATATACACACCCGCCTCTGTGCTACTTTAAAACCACGCCTCATTGGTCCTCAATTTTTTGCAGGGAAATGTTCAACAAGTACATAGGCGGAGAGCAATAACACCATATGCAATACGGCCATAATGGCTTTATTTCGCTTGGCGATTTTAAATAAAACCATTATTTCGATACAGCGTTATTTCCAACTAGAAATGGAAATAAAGCCATTATGGTTTTATTGCGCTTTTTAAAATTTTTGTTTGGCGCGCACATAACCCTGGGGGTAATAGCATAGTCGACACATTGGTACGGCAAGAGCTGTTACTTTGAAGCGCTGCCGAAGGTCAACTACTCAAAAAAGAGTTGTGCGCGCAAAAATATTACATATGGCATACCAGAATTTTGAAAACTTAAATCATAATTATTTTAATTATTGGTACTCAAAATAGTTTTTAAGAAAGGTTGTTAGTCTTCATGATTTAAAAGTGCCGCCAGGAGTTAACATCGTAAATAATGTTCGGAATGTATTTTCTACAGATAACTTTTGAAGTACTAAAAAGACGTTCATTTTCGTTCCCGGATTCGTAATACTGGGGTTTTATTATGCGTCTATTTGATACCACTTTTGGCGAAATAATTTGATGAGTATCAATGATTTTCCCAAGTGTCCGAAAACTGGAAAATTACCGTAACAATGTTAACACACAGCTAGAGTTTCTTTTCTTTTTTCAGAATACATTTTTCGGTTCACTTATTCATTTAGAACGTTGTTCCCGTATAATATGGGGCCGAATAATCTGAACGCATTCTTTTCATTTCGTCTCTGGCGCTAAAGAAACCAAGTAAGTTTTTGCAAATTCTTTTACAAAAAAATTTAGTTAAGTATTAATAAGCTGATAACTAATAATTTCATGCTCTTCTTTTTCTTTATAACCAATGTTCCTGCCAACTACACGACTGTTCTCTTCCAGATCCGGACTGAATAAAAAAGAAACACGCCCATGGTCAATTAGTGCGAAAAATGTGATCCAAAAATAGGCGTTTTTGAACCGAATTCTTTGATAGCATGATTTTTAATCAAATTCTGAAATAAAGCGTTCTTAAAAACTTTTCTGATATAGGGCGTTTTCGAACTGGCTGCCGAGATAGGTCGATCTTCCGCTCAGCTATCGATGTGTACATACATACATAAATCTTACATAAACTATGTTTATAAATTTTATTTTATAATTGCCACTTGAGTAAAGACTTTGTACTTTCATTGATTGAGAACAAAATTTGTATATCAATAGACTGCTTGCTACTCATAAATACTCAGACAAGGTTCGATATTCTAAACCAGTGGTTCTTAACCTTTTAGTGATGACCGACTTCCAATAGTTAGGACAAATATATACATAGGCAGTGGCTAATTGAAAAGCAAAGCCCTCTACGAAAAAAAAGTGACGCTCTGCAAATATTCATCATGCCCATCCTTGCAGAGGATCATCGATATGTGCTACGAGCGCCTGGTTTTGATCGAACTGTTTGGCTTTAAACTCGGGTAGTAATAGTCATAGCGCAATGTGGGCAACTTATGGCAGGATACTTCAGATGAACAGATTATTTTTAGACTATACCACAGATGTAGTCAAGCCCGAAGAGGGGGAGGAGGCCGAGGGTGTTTTCCCCGGCCCGGAGTTTGCAGGGTCTATTCTAAATTAAATTGGAAGAAAAAAATGTTTTGCTAAATTGGCAAACTTGATCGAAAATCATGTTTGGGGAGAATGAGGGCCCATATTTTCTATTGACAACCCTTGATATAGTAAATACTACTTTGATTATGGTGACGTTCGTCATGCTCATAAAACATATGTATGTATGTATAGCTGAGTTTCTTATCCACTAATTTTGATAGTAACAACGATAAGTAGCATTATGTCGATATGTTATGGTAGTAAATATAAATATAAGTACTTATTGATACGCCGTGGGACCGATTCGTATTACGCTTACTGATAGCTGTATGTTTCTACATTTGTTTCACTTCCGCGGAAACCGAAGTGGATTGGTGGGAGTAAGCCTTGCTTTACCAAATCTATCCGCGCTGGATAGTAATGGCGACGGTATAGGTGACTTGCATGGCATCACAACCCGCCTAGAATTCCTCAAGGAAATCGGTGTTACGGCTGCATACGTGGCTTTCGCCTAGCTACGAGTCTCCGATGGCGGATATGGCTTAAGGTGTAGCCAATTTAACAAATATTCATCCGATATTTGGCACATTCAATGACTTTGTTGTGACTATTGCCAAGGCGCATCAATTAGAACTAAAAATTGTCATGGACTTTGGGCCAAATAACTCGAGCGATGAGTGGGAATGGCTTCAGAAGTCGATACGTCCTGAATATGGCTACGATGATTTTTATGCATGGGATGACGGTTAGATCGATCCTGGATGAGCGTCAGCCAGCAAGCAATTAATAGGGAGAAGCAGATATCCTCGACACTTACTTAAGTTCCAGTTCATTATACAGCGACGGCTCTTGCCTTAACCAGAGAGTGGGAAGTGATGTATACTGTCGTGTTTCAATACGTCCGACTTAGGCCACACTGATCACAATTGACATATTTCAACGCTCTGTTAGAAGTAAGTTTGCCAGAGATCTGTGATTTACTACGCTTTCTTAATTTTCCAATTTGTTCCATTTCTTCGAGTCAAAAACGGACCACCAGGTCTTGAACACAATCCCCCCAAAAATGCTTGAAGAATTTTTTAGAACTTTTTGTTTGCATTCCAATTTAAAAATTTACGATATTGCTCTATTTTCATAATTGTTAAGTTTCACACGGAGATCATCTACCGCATCATTATTGACGTTTCCAACTATCATTCGCTGTCTATTGACTTTAGTGTTGCACCATGAATCAAATGCTTGTCGCTACGCGTTCACCAATTCTGCGCCGTGTAGCACGGAGTCATTCAACTTGTTTGCATTAATTGAGATCGAAAATATTAGGGGTATTCTCTGAGTCTTGCAAAGCCCTTGCATGGTGCACAGATTGCACGGATTGCACGGTTAAAACCGGTTTTCGTATGGGACAGCTTTGCAAACCGTGCAATCCGTGCACCGTGCAAGGGCTATGCAAGACTCAGAGAATACCCCTATTTATTTGATTGTTGTATTTATATACTTCAGTATGTGTTTGCTGTGAGTTGCTGTAGTCGCTGCACGTCGAAATTGTCGCATATGTGATTTATTTGAAATTGATTTTGCTGTCGCTAACCACCAACCGCTAACCGAGAACCGAGAATCCCCATTTGGATGAATGCACAACGCCAACAACAACTCATCATTTCTCCCTTTCTTTGTGCCCCCTTCAAATGAGAAATAGGAGCTCCAAAATCAGTGTCATGCGCTGCGGGCGTATTTACCCACTACTCGATGCGTTCGTCTGCATGGAATTTTTTTGGTTGTACGTGTTAGAGAGCACCGCGTGTGG